TAACTCTCATATACAGATCTCACATTACGCTATAAAGTAATCTTAGACATTTTTCCCAACAAATAAAAAAATCATTAAAATGAATTAAATATCAAGTAAAATAAGAGATTTGAGAAAACCAGCACTTCCTCACTGGGCAGATTTTTCTTGATCTTCACAGGCATTCAGAATTACAGCTGCTAATATTACCAGAAAAGCATGATTTTACTGATCTTCCTTCCTCTTCCGGTGGAGCAAGCACAGCTGCAGAAATGGAAGCTAATTTCTAGGCATGACAAATTTACCACGTTCCAGCCATTCATAGCTGTGCAACACCCGCTTCTTAGTACTGTGATTACTGCAATGTCACAGACAGTTTAAATGAGGCTCACAGAGCTATACGATTGGAACTGTATTTTACATGTGTAATTAAATGATGCATGCCATGGAAATAAGCTGGCTTACTAAAACAGAAAAAAAAAAAAAAAAAAAAAAAAAAAAAAAAAAAAACTGTTTTTGATGCAACAGTGAAGTATCTCTTTAGTTATACAATGTATAACAAAATGTTATATATACATATACATATATGTATATATACATATGTATATATGTTATATATATATACATATATACAAATGTATAACAAAAGTTATACATTTAAAGCAAAAATAATTTAGAAAACAGGAGGACACTTGACTTTGTAAATTAATATATTCAAAGGCTCATTTTTTGAATATTAAGGAAATGTGCTAATACAGTCAATTTTTCAAAAGAATTCCTGGCACCAGGAAGTAATCTTCTGCTTTTATTTTCCCCATATCATATGAATGGTTCACTCCTAAAAGGAGTAAAAACATGTATATGAAAAACTTCATGAAGCTAGACATTTCTGAAAAGTGGCTAATTTCTATGTTGAGCTATTGATTTAGCATTGTCATCCTTAAACAGAGAAGACAGAATTGCATATTGTTAGCTTGCTTAGGTAAGATGGAAAAAGCAAGGTGTGGATATTAGATCCTGCTTCAATTTATGTCAATGGCAAACCTTGTGTTATAATTTTAGTGGGAATGAGATGCATTTAATAATAATATGAAAAAGTCATCTGAGTATAATGTTCCTATTTATTAGATTTAAATTACTACCATAGCTATTATAAGTGCATAGCTATTATAATTTATATTATAAATTCTGTTTTAAAAACCCAAGGTTGTCTTCAGTCTTGCCTTTCCTTGTGTGCTATGTCGAAATGTAGGAGTCTGATCCCCTGACCATTCATATCAGCACTGGTCACAGCAAGTATGTCTTTGTCTTGGTACCTGGCCATATTTTCTCTGCGTGATACATGTTTGTGGGTGTAAATATGGGTATATCACTGGTGATGATGTCCAGAGTGGGGTATGTTCCCCAGACAGCAAAACAGGGTGCACAATTTTGTAATACAAATGTATTCTTTGAGTGTCCAGACTACTCATAAAGTCTTTAACATGTTTTTTATGTACGAATTATAACACAGGAACTTCCCTTCCTCGGTAACAGAATTGGTGTCCTGTGAAAGGTAGTATTGAATGAGATTAGTATATGATAATTTTCTTCATTTGTTGTAGAAGTTGAAATAAGGATGTTAAATGGGTTAGTCGACAGCAAAGATGTGTTGCTTGGGGAAGCTGAATGTCACTTCTGTGCTTGACTATTTCTGCAGTTTGTATGAGAGTCATATTTTATCTCCAGCTACAGAATGAATGAATCAGAATACACACCTTTGCTCTGAGAATTAATGTAGTGTATTTAAAGACATAAAATATGGAGTATTGCTCAAAAATCAGGCCCTAGTAGTAATCTTTTGGTAGACAGTTTGCTTACCTTGTCCTAATTTTACAAGCATAACATAATAATAAGAATGACAGATAAAACATCTAGGAAATAAATTAATTATTAATTAATAAATTAATAAATTAATTAAGGACTATGTACTGAGAGGTGTTGTGGAGAATAGTAATAATTTCTGGGTTACGAACAGCATGCACCAATATCTAATAGCTAAATATAAGTCATAAAAAGAAATACTGAAGAATTATTCAATTAATTAATCAGGAAAAAAATGGAAATATAAGATGAGGTATGTAATTAAAGATCGTAACATATTATATCAACATAGGTGTAGAATATATTCTTAATTGTACACCTCTAGTAAAAAGATATTTTAATTGACTTGAGTGGTTTTATATATGTGGTTTTATGGGTATATGATTTTTTGCATTTGTATTTTTAGAACTGGGGCAAAGAATGAAGGAAATCTACTATATGGCATCATGTTGGTACCCCTATGATTCACTGCAATATCTGCATCTTAACTTTTACAGCCCAGACTTCTGCCCCTTAAAGTACCTCATTTTTAATTGCTGTCTGAACACAGAAGATATGTGACAAACAGAGTTTTATTGGAGTGCTCTTGTGGTTGTAGACACTTCCTTAGCTACCCCACCCTGCTTCTTCTTCCTCTATCCACCACCGGCTTCTTTCTTTCTCTCTCATTTTTCTCCTTTTCCATATTTCTTCAATACAGCTACTTCTTCTTCCTCTCTTCCTGTCTCCTACCTTTCTTCATCCTCAGCATGTAAGCAATACTTTGCATGCTCTTTCTTATCCTTGCTCTTAGGGAATGGGAAGAAGCAGTTTCCTAGCCCTTGGCTGACGTGTGTGCTACTACACTGCAGCAGCTACAGCTGTGAGACAAAGTAACTGCAGGGGAAAGTTCTGCTCACTTCCGGCTGTACTGCCTTAGTATATGCTCAGCCATTCCGGGAAGATGGAGCTGTGCCATTCCCTAAACACTTTGCATTTGGAAGAGGATGAAACCTTCCCTTGAAAGACATTTTTAGCAGTGAAATGAACACACAAGTGTGTTCAGGTCTTCAGAGCTGCCTGAGTGGCCAAGTTTGGTCAGTTTTCCATAAAGATGGAAAAAGGCTTCATATTATCCTCATGATATTCAAACTCCAAAGAATGGAGATGCCAGGACTTGTCAATGACATGACTCTACCAATTTTATGAGAATTGGCAAGACAGTTCATTTCTCTTACAACTTATGCACAGAAACCTTGAAGTTATTTTGGCTGGAATGCTTGGGAAAAAAAAAAAAAGTTCAGAAAAAGAAAAGAAAAGTAAGTTTAGTTCTGACAACTATATTAAATAGTCATAACATCTGACACACTGCTGTCAACAACAAAATCTTGATTTTGTTATGACATACTAGCTGGATCATTTACAACGCAAAGTCCATCACCCATTGACAAGCAAGCTCCAAGAAAAAAATCAGAATTGCTCTTTAAAACCCAGACACGTGGCTGCAGGGTGGTTATTTGACAAAAAAAAAAAAATATATATATGTATATACATATATATATCATCTGTGGATTAAACATGCCTGATCTTGGTTGTTTTTGAAGTGGATGGCCACACTAGAACTTTTCATATCATGGCTTAGAAAGACATCCAATGTTTCTGGGAATCAAATGCAGTTTCTTAAAAAATATATATATGTACATGTACATGAACAATTCATTTGTTTTCCTTCTGGGTAAGAGAAGTGGTATTTTGCTTCAGAAAGAATAAAAGCTCCATGTTTTCCTTTACTTGTTCTCCATATATTATTCAGAGGTATAATATCAAATGAATAAAATGGATGAGATTTTTGTTGTTGTTGTTTTGCTTTTTAAGACTCTTTTCCCTCTTTCTTATTTTAAAAGCAGTAATTTATTTTCTTGTACGTTATGGAAGAACAAAAATTACCACCTCCACCCCTCTCCCCACCCCCCCCCCAAAAAAAAAAAAAAAAAAAAATCTGATAATTCTCTCTCCTTTGATTTTTCAGTTACATTGCAGCTCTCCAAATTAAGATTTATGTGCTGGTTTGTATATGTTGTTGTTTTTTTCCCCCTAGAGGGATATAGGTGGATAAGTTTGGATAGGAAACTGTAACCCTCAAGCCAAACTGAAAGGTTTATAAAGTTGCTAATAAAAGTTTGGGTCAGGGCCTAAATATCAATCATCCGTTCATTATCTTTTTGAACGAGCTCAGGCATTTTCCCAACCACTCCCAGCAGGTCTCTGCCACTATTTCAAACTAAGATTGCAGTGATTTTTTTTTTCCCTGTGTTGACCTCAATAATTTTTCTCTCCCTTTCTCCTTACCTGCCAAATGCATCCATCAGGATTTTGCTAAAGGCTATCTGCTTTTGAAGTCAAGAAGAATTCACTAATCATGAGTGTCAAATCCACAATAAATGCCATTGCCATATGGTATATGCTGCTATTGGGAATTATCTCCAAAAAGCCTAGTTGTGAAAAGTCTGGCTATGTGTTAGGGATTTTTTACTGCTAACGTTCATAACTCATGTCAGGTCTTTCAGTCTCTGTATTCATTGGCTTAAGTGAGTGTAACTGTTTCCTGAATTTATAAAAATGTTGTCAAGATCTCTTGATCTCTCTTCCTCTGTCTCTCTTGCAAACACATTCAAACACAGATATACACAGTGGAATTCCATACACACTGGTATACACATCTAGCAAAAGAGAAGCCTGTAAATAAATAATATTTCATTCTATTTACTCAATAAATTCCTGTGAGTGTTAGAGCTCATGATAAACATATCATAACCACTGATGAAGGCTTTACAGCCTCCTGTCCTGTCAGACAATCCCGAGTGTGATTCTGAAATGCATACAAAGACCAATGTTTGAAAAACTGAGAGCAAATTGAGCTCCCATAAGCACAGGGTGCTGACATAACTGAAAAATAACAATCTGGTGAGCATTTGCTTTAGCTAAAGGAGACAATATCAGTGATATATCTCTGTATCTTGTGAAAACTGTTCAAGTTTACTGTACAATCAAAGCAACAAGAAATCCACACAGAACATGGGCATTAAAGAATTTTTTAACTATATATTTAAACCCTTCAACCTTCTCAACCTCCTCAACAAGAAATACACATAAGTAAGATTACACATAAGTTAAGTTACCTTTATAGGAAAGCTTCAGTCTTGGTATAGTTTGCTTTGATGTTCCAGTGACTGGAAGGAGCAGCATCGCTAAAGATAACAGGCAGCAGGCATTCGGTATCTGAGACGTTCTCATTCTGCTCTCTTCTTCTGTATCTTTTGCAGTATGGTGAAATACCTCCCTGCTATTTCAAACAATCCAAATTTAATCTGAAAACAAAAAGGAAACATCTGTAGATCTTTTGCATTATCATATAAATAGTATTTCTGAAAACAAGCCAGACCTATCTTTAAAGAGTAGCTAATTTAACACATTTGTTACAAAAGTTTGCTTTTTGTTTTGTTTTGTTTAGTATAAATCTAAATGTTGTATATCTGTTTCTTTAATACTACACTTACTAGGGATGAAAAAATATTTAAACTTTTCAAATACCAATGTCTAGCATAACTAAAGTCTGAGCACAAATTAAATTAATGTAATATCCATAAAAACATCATTTGTCACTCAAAAATATTAATGTATCTCATTATCTCATACAGTTCCATTAGATTTCTTAAAAGTTTTATAACTCATTCTTTATCTCAGTACAACAGCTATTGTATGTTTATGGTATGACTAGAATAAGCTGTAATATCTGAGATACCATGAGTGAACAAGTTGAGTTAACAGTGAGTACATACCCATCATAAACTTTCATAAATAAACTAAGAAAATTGGATACAGCAAGCTGTTGTGTTTAGTTTTAATAGAGAAAAAAGTCAACACAGATGATGGACTTCAATGTGCTTTGCAGTAAGATATTTTCAGTGGAATAACTGCCTCAATTCATCCACCAAAATGTCCTATAAACTTTAATGAGTGGTTCATGCTGAGGTCAATAGGCTGATATGAGACTATGTTAACACAGTATGCAACTAAGCCAGCTTTGCAACACTTTTCACTTAATAACAATCATTCATATTCCATAAATCTTAAAGTGTTTAACAAAAGAAAGTAATTATCAATGTCCTTATTTTCCCTATGCAAAATCGCAATCATAAAACTGTAGTGAACCTAATTCCTACAGGTCACACAGGTCACACAGCCACCCCAGTAGCTGCACAGAAAGCAGCAACAGTTGTCTTATTTTGTACCCAGTTATAAAAGATCCATTTTGCTTTTTTTTTTTTTTTTTTTTTTTTTAATTGATTTGAAGTTATTTGACATGACATCCTGAGGTTCTAAAGGTTGAAACTTATGTTTAATAAATCACAGAGGTCGGAGCATGAAAATATACATGAGACCAGATCCTTTCCCCTGGAGGTGCACCATAACAAAAGGCTAGGGAAGATAGACAGCAAAATGACAAATGTCAGTGTTTGAGTGATTCTGTAAATCAAGATGTAAGGAAATGCTATGGTTAATAATGAGATTAATGGCTCATGACTTGTCATGAAAATTCTTTTCTGAAAGGTACCAAAACAGCCTGATAAAAAGAGTGATCTCAAAGGCCACAATATCTATCACTTGCACAGGCACCAGAAGGAAGGCTCCTTGTGAGCCCACGAGAAATACAATCCAGCTCACCCCCCTCATGAGCCACCCCTTGTCTTGAACTTTACCTAGCTGCAGCACTGGTGCCAGAACCTCTCTGCATGCTGTTGAGGCATCCAAAATCAATTCACCAGCTCATGAGGCAGGTAGTACCTCCTTCCCGGCACAAAGAGACTGGAAAGAGGACTCCTTTAGTTCTCTCTGACAGAGGAAACCTTTCTCAGATGAAGTTGGGGCTTTCTGAGCCTCCAGCACTTCTGCCAATACTAAAGGACAAGGGAGTGTACAGGAAGGGCGTGATGAGGAAAGAGAGAGGGGAACAGATTTGTAAAATGCCCGAAGCATCCTTCCTACGCAGAACATTAAACTTCTTTCTTCTCAATCCCTTCCTCAACACCCCCATTCTGTGTCTGAATGCACTACTTTTGGCCAAGAGCTGTTACATATTAGTAAGATAAGAAAAAGAAAAAGAAAAAGAAAAAGAAAAAAAGAAAAAGAAAAAGAAAAAGAAAAAGAAAAAGAAAAAGAAAAAGAAAAGAAAAAGAAAAGAAAAAGAAAAGAAAAGAAAAGAAAAAGAAAAAGAAAAAGAAAAGGGAAGGAAGGGAAGGGAAGGGAAAGGGAAGGAAGGGAAGGGAAGGGAAGGGAAGGGAGGGAAGGGAAGGGAAGGGAAGGGAAGGGAAGGGAAGGGAAGGGAAGGGAAGGGAAGGGAAGGGAAGGGAAGGGAAGGGAAGGGAAGGGAAGGGAAGGGAAGGGAAGGGAAGGGAAGGAAGGGAAGGGAAGGGAAGGGAAGGGAAGGGAAGGGAAGGGAGGAAGGGAAGGGAAGGGGAGGGGAGGGGGGAGGGGAGGGAGGGGAGGGGAGGGGAGGGAGGGGAGGAATTTGAAATGTCTCTCATTCCTCTTTCCACTCTCTTAACTGGAGTGTAGGATCCTGAGAGATGATAGCCCTTATTTCTTACATGCTGGTACACATATTTGTAGTTGGACAACAACAAAAAACAAACAAAAAAGCTTATGTTGATTTGTCTGTTTCAGGGTCCTATCACATCATTTTGGGGTGAAAAAGGGGAAAAGAATGAGGGAAGAGAAGCAGGGGGGTATTAAGACAAGACATAACAGCCCAGTTCATCTTCAGAGGGATGACAGAGATAAACCGTACTTGAAAAAGAAACAACAGAGAATCAGTCTCACTGCAAGTACGATGAGATTTAGTGGCTTGGGGCTCTGGGTCTCAGCCAACAGGGATCTCACTAAAGGATTTGGGGTTCATCTGCTCAAGACAAAGTACAGTGACAAGTCAGGAAAAAAATTACCACTGGCAGAAAAAAAGAAAGCAGTTGCCCAAATTTTGCAAATTTCTGCAATTGCTTAATTGCAGACTGAAGATCAGCACCGAATTCGGCTTTTTGGTCATAAGAAACCTTGTTTTTTCATGTAAGGCTCTTTTGCTAATGGAAATTTTTATTTTTTTTCCTTTCACTTGAACAATGTCTGTGAAAAAATATTTGCTTTAATTTTTGACATAAGGCTTTTAGTTTTCACTGAAGACAGCTGCTGTGTGAGCTTGAGCCAACTGTCTTGTCCTAGACTCACTGCAACTCAGCCAGATTGTCACATATATTTTTAGTTTATGATGATCTTCTAATACAGTTCCAGCTTCCACACAGAGTCCTTCCAGCAGTCTAATGACCAGCCCAGGTTAATGAACTTCAGACCAAATAACTGGCCATTAATCTTCAGGAAGTACCCTTCTTCTCTGTACCATATGTAATGTCAATCACGCTGTTCTAAAATAATCAGACCCATGAACAGAAATAAAATACGAAACCTAAAAGCTAATCTAACTCCTTTTTTTTCCTCTGCTCAAAAAACAAGAGCTTTGTCAGGGGAGCAAAATTATTGTTTCCTTTAGTTCTTCAATATTTCTGCTAAGCACCAACATGCTCTAAAACTTCCTCATCATAGTCAGACACAAAATAAATGAGGAAAATTAACTTGAAAAAAAAAAAAAAAACAAAAAACGCTGAGGCCAAAATTGCTTTCCCACTTTCCCACCTTGCCTTCAGTTAGGAAATATCTGCATTGTGTTAATTATCACCTGTGAGACTGGCTGAGGAAGGAGGCTATGTACACATCTCACCAGTAACAGGGTATTTCCACTAGAAGAAAGGAGCTATTATTTACCCCACACGGGGGTGGGAGGTGCCTGGTTGAAGAGGGGACAAGGCGCCTGGCTCCATCGTGCCTGGACCTCCCTGTGGGGCCTGTAAATTCACAGTGAGTGTGGGTGAAAACTGCCAAAAGACAAAACATGGATCTGCCGGTGTCCTGCCATCTTGCCAGAGAGAGGCAGCTGGATGTAACTGGCACATGTGTGATGTCACGTCCCCTAAATGAGGTGTCACCTCTCTACAATTGGTCAGATTTAGTGGAGTCTATAAAACAGATCACTCTGAAGCTACTGTCTGAAAGAGGAAAACCTGGAGCCAATTTACTAAACATAATTTATTCCAGGCCCTTTGTTGCAATAAACAGAGCTCTTCAGGCTTCTCAAATACACAGCCAGTAGGGAGCTCTGTGCTTATGGGAGTGTTGTGTTGTTTTTTTTCAGATTGTTCAGCTAAACCCTATCTGAATGCAAAATTTCACATTCACAAATACTGAGTAGGTGTCCGACCTCCCTTGGCATCATGAAGTCCAGAATTGAAAGGACTGTGACCCATCCACAAACATACAATTTTTAAACAGTAGCTCATGTAACTCAACTGAATTCCATAAGAAAAACCTCTTCTGAATTGGAGGATAATTTAAAACCTCCAGTCTCCAGTGCTAGTTTTCCATGGCCATTTTAAAATTCAGAATTTTGTACTCCGATGAAGAGGATGATGAAAACAGCCTGCAACAAATGCAAGCTAAAGTGATTAACCAGATTGTGATCTGCATCTAATAGCAATGGTATAAATTGCAAATAACCACTGAAAATCTTTTATTTGGCTCATGTTATTTTAAAAAGGCAAGAATAGAATAGAAAAATATCTGATAATCACTATGGATTCATAAGTAGATTCAATAAGTCACCAAGGTCATCTAATCTCAATATGTAAACTATTATCTTTGATACCCAAGGTTTTCTTTCTTTTCCTCTGTCACTGACTGGGATTTGAGGATTTTATTTTATTTTTCCATGGAATAAGAAGAGAATAAAAGATGTCCCTTGTGATGATATCTTCATCAACCACAGAGCATGAGCGTACTACTAGACGAACATATTGCTTATTAGCAATAATAATTAATAATAAATAAATTTTTCAACTACAAAAAGAAACAAAATTCCCACCCACAATTCAAATGTATTAAAAGATATATTATCTGTTTAACTACATCAAACAGAAGTTTTATATATATGCATTCACATTTAAAGCACATTATTTTAACCACAAATACATAGATATTCTTCCAATGCATTTTCTTGTAAACATCTCATCTATCACATACCTTTTCAGGAATAATATTAGTGTATTTCAATACTATACTATAATCATGGATTGGATATTGAGCATTCTGCATCAATAGGAAGGGAAACTGTAAACACATGAGTCATAAAATAATTCATAAAATAAAATGGACTAAAAGTAAAATTGTATCTCCAGACTTACTTAAAATCTTTAATTTGCTTTTT